TCTTTACTTCACAATATTGGTAGAAATTTAGTATAACTGATTCATAACCATTTGATTCACTGTATACTGATTAGAATTAACAGCAAGTTCAATAATTACAAAACGAAGAACATAGAACATAAGAACTAGGAGCAGGAGTAGGCCGTCCGGCCCTTCGATCCTGCTCCGCCATTCAATAAGATCATGACTGATCTTTTCGTGGACTCAGATCCACTTACCCGCGTTCTCACCGTATCCCTTAATTCCTTTATTGTTCAAAAAAAATCTACCTTATCTTTAAAAACGTTTACTGAAGTAGCGTCAACTACTTCACTGGGCAAGGAATTCCATAGATTAACAAGCCTCTGGGTGAAGAAGTTCCTTCTCAATTCAGTCCTAAATCTGCTCCCTCTAATCTTGAGGCTATGCCGTCTTGTCCTAGCTTTACGTGCCAGTGGAAACATCCTCTCTACTTCTATCTTATCTATTCCCTTCATAATTTTACATAAGATCCCCCCTCAATCTTCTGAATTCCAATGGATATAATCCCAATCTACTCAGTCTCTCCTCATAAGCCAACCTCCTCAACTCCGGAATCAACCTAGTGAACCTCCTTTGCACCACCCCCTCCAGTGCCAGTACATCTTTTCTCAAGTAAGGAGACCAAAACTGCACACAGTACTCCGGGTGTGGCCTCACCAGCACCTTGTACAGCTGCAACATAACCTCGCTGCTTTTTATTTCAATCCCTTTAGCAATGAAGGACAAAATTCCATTTGCCTTCCTAATTACTTGTTGTACTTACAGACCTACCTTCTGTGATTCATGCACAAGGATACCCAGGTCCCTCTGCATAGCAGCATGCTGCAACTTTTTACCATTCAAGTAATAATCATTTTTACTATTACTCCTACGAAAATGTATGACTTCACATTTATTTACATTGTATTCCATCTGCCAGCCCTTTGCCCACTCACTCAATGTATCTGTGTTCCTCTGCAAAGTTTCACAGTCCTCTGCACACTTTGATCTGCCACTCATCTTAGCGTCATCTGCAAACTTTGACACCCTACATGTGGTCCCCAACTCCAAATCATCTATATAAATTGTAAATAATTGCGGTCCCAACACCGATCCCTGAGGCACACCACTAGTCACTGACTGCCAGCTAGAATAGCACTCATTTATCCGCACTCTTTGCTTCCTGTTAGTCAACCAATCCTCTATCCATGCTAATACTTTACCCTTAACGCCATGCATCCTTATCTTATGCAGTAGCCTCTTGTGCGGCACCTTGTCGAAGGCCTTTTGGAAATCTAGGTACACCACATCCACTGGGTCCCCATTGTCCACCTTGCTCGTAATGTCTTCATAGAATTCCAAAAGATTTGTCAAGCATGACCTGCCCTTCATGAATCCATGCTGCGTCTGCCCAACGGGACAATTTCTATCAAGATGCCTTGCTATTTCTTCCTTGATAATAGACTCAAGCATCTTTCCCACTACAGAGGTTAAGCTAACCGGTCTATAATTCCCCATCTTTTGTCTACTTCCCTTTTTAAACAGTGGCGTCACATTTGCTGTTTTCTAATCTGCTGGGACTGCCCCAGAGTCCAGCGAATTTTGGAAAATTACCACCAGTGCACCTGCTATTTCTCCAGCCATCTCTCTTAGGCCCCCTGGGATGCATTCCATCAGGGCCAGGAGACTTATCAATCCTTAGGTCCATTAGCTTGCCCAACACTACCTCTTCCGCAATAATGATTGTTTCCAGGTCCTCACCTACCTTCGTCTCTTTGTCAATTACTGGCATGTTATTAGTGTCCTCCACTGTGAAGACCGATACAAAATACCTGTTCAATGCCTCGGCCATTTCATCATATCCCATAACTAAATTCCCCTTCTTGTCCTCTAAAGGGCCAACATTTACTTTAGCCGCTCTTTTTCGTTTTATATATTTATAGAAACTTTTGCTATCTGTCTTTATATTCTGTGCTAGTTTTTTCTCATGTTCTATCTTACTTTTCTTTATAGCTCTTTTTGTGGTTTTCTGTTGACCTTTAAAGTTTTCCCAATCTTCTAGTTTCATGCTGTTTTTGGCCACTTTGTACACCTTCTCTTTCAATTTGATACCCTCCCTTATTTCTTTAGACACCCATGGCAGATTACCCCTTTTCTTACAGTCCTTCCTTTTCACTGGAATATACTTTTGCTGAGCACTTTGAAAAATTGCTTTGAAAGTCCTCCACTGCTCGTCAACTGTCCCACCATAAAATCTTTGTTTCCAGTCTACTTTAGCCAAGTCCTCCCTCATTCTATTGTAGTTTCCCTTGTTCAAGCACAGGACCCTGGTGTTGGATTTTATCTTCACACTCTCCATCTGTATTCTAAATTCAACCATACTGTGATCACTCCTTCCAAGAGGATCCCTAACTATGAGGTCATTAATTATTCCTGTCTCATTACACAGGACCAGATCTAGGATAGCTTGCTCCCTCGTCGGTTCCATTACATACTGTTCAAGAAAACTATCACAGATACACTCAACGAACTCCTCCTCAAGGCTACCCTGACCGAGCTGGTTCGACCAATCTACATGTAGATTAAAATCCCCCATGATAATTGCCATACCATTTTTACAGGCATTAGTTATTTCTTTGTTTATTGCCCGCCCCAATGTGATGTTATTATTTGGTAGCCTATAGACTACGCCTATCAGTGACTTTTTCCTCTTAGAATTTCTAATTTCCACCCAAATGGATTCAACCTCATTCTCCATCGAACCTATATTATCTCTCAGCACCGCCCTGATGTCGTCCTTGAATATCAGAGCTACACCACCTCCCTTACCTTCCTGTCTGTCCTTCTGAATGGTCTGGAACCCTTGGATATTTAACTCCCAGTCGTGACCATCCTGTAACCATGTCTCTGTAATGGCTACCAAATCATATTCATTCGCGATGATTTGTGCCGTTAACTCATCAACCTTGTTACGAATGCTACGAGCATTAAGGTAAGGTGCATTTATGCCAGCTTTCTTACCCTCATGATTTCCAACATCTCTAATAATATTTCCTGAGTTATCCTTCCTTTTTGCTTCTTTCATAGTCTGCCTTGAACTCAAACCCTCCTGCACACATGCTAACCTGCTGCTTACCTTTTTATTTACCATCATACTCCCTGTTGTTTTCCCTTTCCCTTCCCCCCCAAACTCCCTAGTTTAAAGTCCTCGTGACCACCCTATTTATCCTTTTCGCTAGAACACTGGTTCCAGATCGGTTCAGGTGGAGACCGTCCCATCGGTACAGATCCCTCCGGTTCCAAAACTGATGCCAATGCCCCATGAAATGGAACCCCTCTTTCCCACACCACTCCCTTAGCCACGTGTTTACTTCCCTAATTTTCTTATCCCTAAGCCAATTTGCACGTGGCTCGGGCAGTAATCCGGAGATTATGGCCCTCGAGGACCTGTTCCTTAATTTCGTTCCTAGTGCTTGATAATCCCCAAACAGGTCCTCCATCCTAGCCTTGCCTATGTTGTTAGTCCCAACGTGGACCACAACAACTGGATCCTCCCCCTCCTGCTCCAATATCCTTTCAAGCCAGTCAGAAATGTCCTGCACCCTGGCACCGGGCAGGCAACACACCATGCGGGACTCCCGATCCGGCTTGCAAAGGATACTATCTATCCCCCTAACTATAGAATCCCCTATAACTACCACTTGTCTTTTTGCTCCCCCTCTTGAATGGCCTTCTGCACCATGGTGCCGTGGTGAGCTGGCTCATCCTCCCCGCAGCCCTTTTCCTCATCCACACAGGGAGCAAGTATCTCGTACCTGTTGGATAAGGTCAAAAGCTGAGGCTCCTCCACTCCTGAACTTGGGATCCCCTTACCTGCCTCACTTGCAGTCACACCCTGTTGTCCCTGATCACTAACTGAATTTGAATTACTTAATCTACCAGGTGTGACTGCCTCCTGAAACAAAGCGTCCAGGTAACTCTCCCCCTCCCGGATGTGCCACAGTGTTTGAAGCTCAGATTGCAGGTCTTCAACTCTGAGCCGGAGTTCTTCCAGCAACCAACACTTGCTGCAGATGTGGTCACTGCCGTTCACAATGGGATCAGCCAGCTCCCATATCATACAGCTACAGCACATCACCTGCCCAGCCATCTCTACTTAGTTAATTACTTTATTACTTTATATCAATTTATGAGTTAAATACTTTCTAATACTTCTCTGCTATGGTCTTTTCAAATAACCAATTAATAGATAAATAAAAAAAGGAAGTAAATTTTTAACCAATTACACTATACAGAAGAAATAGAAAAAGTATGAAAACCTTACCTTACCAACACACCACAGAGTCCTCTTTTTTTGGTTAGAGGAGGAGGGCGGGTGGGAGACCCTACACGTTTAGTTGAAAGTATAGTTACAAGTATACTTTGGAGAGGAATTTTCTAGCTTTATTGCCTTAGATCAAAAAGGATCCATCTAAATAAAAATTCCACATACTGTACAGTTTTATCAGTCAAGTAGCAATTTAAATCTCAGGTCATTTAGTAATGAGAATTACTCTTAATATTTTTATAGGTGGAGTATTAACCTCTATACAGTCTAATTTATGTGCATTTATTTACTATTCCAGATTATGATATGATCTGTATTTGACCAGACTTGTATTTATTTTTCAGGATTCCCATTAAATATTCTGTGCCTGCTACCTCATTTAGTTCAACATTTTGATAACCCTACCCAATTCTGCAAGGAAACTGCTGACAGAATAGCAAAGGTATGTACACAATTATGAACGAGTACATAAATATTGGAAGGCTGAAAATAAATTCAGTCTTGAACATTCTTGACAACTGAGCCTCTACAGCCCTCTGGAACAGAGAATTCCAAAGATTCTCTCCTTAAGGGGCTTGACAGAGTAAATGTTGAGAGATGTTTTCCCCTCATGGTAGAGCCTAGGAACAGAAGATGCAGTCTCAGAATTAAGGGGCCAATTGAATGACTGAGGAGTTTATTTTCTTAAAGTGTTGTAAGTGTTTGGAACCCCTTTTCAGAGACAGCTGTGAGGGCAGAGTCCTTGTGCTTATTTAAGGCTGAGATAGATAGATTTTTGATCATTAGGGAAATCAAGGGTTATGCAGAAAGGGCAGGAAAGTGGATGTGTGGAGTGTTGGATCAACCATGATCCTATTGAATGGCAGACCAAGCTCAAGGGGTTCACCATCCTACTCCTGTTCTTATTTCTTATGGTCTTATTGCCCTCTATCTGTGGCAAGTCTTTTATTTTTCTTCATGTTTTCTTTATTTTTTTCTTAGGTAAATAGACCAAAATTGGACACACTGTTTCAGGTGTGGTCTTATCAGTTGCAAGACATCTTTGCTGTTGGTTACATTAAATTCTCTTGTATTAAGGCTAGCATATCATTTGGTGCCTTAATTGTTTCCTGTACCTGTATTATAACATTTTGTTACTCATAAACAAGAATTTCTGGGTTCCTTTCAAGTCCAAAATTTCCTGCCCTTTTACTATTTATTATATATACTTTGTATCTCTGATTTTCTTAACAACAGTTATGACCCCACACTCTACAGGCATACAAACCTATGAACTGGGAGCAGAATTAGACACTTGATCCTCCTCTGCCTTTTTCATCATGGTTAATCTAATTACTCCATATTGCCACTACCAACTATACCATTTCACACCTTTATTTATCAAAATCCTCTACCTATACATTTAAAAATATTCAGATTCTGCTTCTGCTACCTTTGGAGGAACAATGTTCAAAAGACTCACAACTCTCTCTGAGCAAACCTATCCCTTAACCTAATATGCCATTTCACTTTAGCTATCTCTCTTTCCATGATCGTTATTCTTCCTTATTTAAGATTGAAATACCAGTCTTGAACCAACTTTTCTCACCCTCAAACTGAATGTAAAGTTCAATCATGGTCACTATTACCGAAAGGTGCAATAAGGTCACTGATAATTCTGTCTGTATTCTTTCTGCCAGATTTTTGGCCAATCACTAGCAGCACCAAATTCACTTGAAGTGTCTTTGCACTCTCCTCACAACTCTCACTCCCACCTAGTTTTGTGTCACATACAAACTTGGAAATGGTGCATTTAAATCCTAGATCCAAATCATTGATATAGATTATGAATAGCTGGTAACTAGGGAAGGTGATGGCCTAGTGGTAATTTTGCTAGACTCTTAATCCAAGGGACCCAGGTAATGTTCTGGGGACCCAGGTTCAAATCCCGCCACAGCAGATTGTGGAATTTGACTTCAATCAACAAAAAATCTGGAATTAAGAATCTGCTGATGACCATGAAATCATTGCCAATTGTCGTAAAAACCCATCAGGTTCACTAATGTCCCCTGGTTTGGCCTACATGTGACTCCAGACCCACAGCAATGTGGTTGATTTTCAGTTGCCCTCTGAAATGGCCTAGCTACAAAGCCTCAAAGAAATAAAATCAGATGGATCACCTGGTATCGACCTAGGCACTGGAAAAGACAATAGCAGAAACAGCCATGTCAACCCTGCAAAGTCCTCTTTACTAACATCGATAGGTTACTGCCAAAATTAGCAGAGTTGTCTCACAGACTAGTCAAGAAACAGCCTGACATAGTCATACGTACAGAATCCTACCTTACATACAATGTCCCAGACACCACCATCACCTGGATATGTCCTGTCCCACTGGCAGGACAGACCTGGCAGAAGTACGGTGGTATATACTCGGGATGGAGTTGCCCTGGGAGTCCTCAACATTGGCCTCTGAGCCCCATTAGCTTTAGGTTAAACATGGGCAAGGAAAACTTCTGATTACCATGTCTGCTGATTACCGTCCACCCTCAGCTGATGAATCAGTACCCCTCCATGTTGAACAACACTTGGAGGAAGCGTGAGGGTTGCAAGGGTACAAAATATACTCTGGGTGGTGGATTTCAATGTCCACAACCAAGAGTGGATCAGCAGAAGTATTACTGATCGAGCTAGATTGGGTCTGCGGCAGGTGATGAGGGAACCAACAACATACTTGACCTCATCCTTCCCAATCTGTCAGCTGTCCATGACAGTATCGGTAAGAGCGACCACCACACAGCTGGCCCAAAAACTAAAAATAATTCTGCATTTCCTTATCAGTATGTGTGGAGTGACAAGTGAGCCCAGTCTCCTGCCATTTGTAAGTAAAAGTTATTTACTTCTAAAGATATAAATAGGAAGTAATTTATTTCGCTGATTTGAAGATAAAGGGGAGGCAATGGCCTAATGGTATTATCGCTGGACTGTTAATCCAGAAACCCAGATAATGTCCTGGGACCCGGGTTTGAATCCCACCATGCCAGAACGTGGAATTTAAATTCAATAAATATCTGGAATTAAGAGTCTCATGATGGCTGTGAATCCATTGTCAATTGTTGGGGGAAAATCCATCTGGTTCTCTAATATCCTTTAAGGAAGGAAACTACATGTGTCTCCAGACCCACAGCAATGTGGTTGACTCTTGACTGCCATCTGGGCAATTAGGAATGGGCAATAAATGTTGCCTAGCCAGTGATGCACTCATCCCGTGAACCAAAAAAATTGATAAGTTACTTCACACTAGGCTACTTAATAAAATAAGAGCCCATGGTGTTAGAGAGAGTATGTTAGCATGGATAGAGGATTAGCTAACTAATAAAGACGAGAGTGTTGGGCTAAACGGTCATTTTCAGGAATGCAGTCTGTAATAGCGGAATGTCCCAGGGATTAGTGCTGGGCGCACGGTTATTTACAATAAATTTTAATGATTTGGATAAGGAAAGAGAATGTACTATAGCCGTGTTTGCAGATGGCACAAAAGTAGATGGGAAGGCAAGTGGTGAGGATGTGACAAAGCATCTACACAGGGGTTTAACAAGTGGACAAAAACTTGGCAGATGGAATTTAATGTGGAAAAATGGTACGTTGTGCACTTCCGCAGGAAGAGTAAAGGAGCTGAATATTATGTAAATGAAGAAAGACTGCAGAAAGTTATAGGACAGAAGTATTTTGGAATCCTCATGCAGAAAGATCAAAAAGCCAGCATACAAATTCAGTAGGTAATAAGGAAGGCAAAAGGAATATTGGCCTTGAATTCAAAAGGAATGTCGTGTAAAAATAGGGCAATCTTAGTAAAATTCTACAAGACATCAGTCAGACATCAGTTGGAATATTGTTAAGAGTTTTGGGCCCTCTACCCAAGGAAAAATATACTGGCCACTGGGGACAGTCAAGAAAAGGTTCCCAGGCTGATACTGTGTGTGGAAGGACTGTCTTATAATGAGAGGCTGAGTCTGTACTCATTGGAGTTTAGAAGAATGACAGGCAATCTTATTGAAACATAAGGGTGTTAGGAGACTTAACAGGGTAAATGTTGAAAGTTTGTTCTCCTCATGGAAATGTCTAAGACAAGAAAGCATAATCTCAGAATAAGAAGTCACCCTATTAAATTATAAATTAAGAGTAATTTCTTCTCTAGGGTAACGAATTTGTGGAATTCTTTGCCACAGAGGGTTGTAGAGATTGGGTTAAGTATATTCAAGGGTAATATATACCGATTTTGTTTTTATCAATAAAGAAATTAAGGGTTATGGGGAGCAGGCTAGAAATTGGAGCTGAGGATTTATCAGATCAACCATGATTAATTGAAGGATACAGCAGATTCAATGGGCTGAATGGCCTACTGCTCCTTGGTCTTATAGTCTAAATGTAAATCTTAATTTTTCGCAAAAGCCCCACATACCCTTTTGGAAATCAACTACCTTAGGATTATTAGCAGTGATCTTAGAACAGAACTTTTAATGTAAAAACAACATAGTTGCAGATGCTGGAAATCTGAATTAAAAACAGGAATTATTGAATTGAATAATTTATTGTCACTTACACTTACCAAATAAATACAGTGAAAAGTATAAAAGGTCACTGTGGTCTGGCGCCATTTTGACTTACAGAAAAAATTAAGATACAGGACTTAAGTAGAAGTAAAAACAGAGTTCATCTTCCTCCCTCATGTGCTCCGCTCGACATCTGGAGGGGAGGTGCATTCTCCACAATTTTCTGTGGGCTAATCCACACCCTTGCATTGACAGCCCGTTCGGGCCTACCGCATCGCCACAGCTGAAGCCCAACATCTTTTGATTCCAACGCTAACTGCAGATACTGCCTTCTTCGCCAACATCACCGGAATGCCCATTCCGTCACCACTTCTCCATCACCAGCGCTGGGCCAACCAACATCGAAGTTGCCAATTATCAGGCACCATCTTTCACCACTGGGCCCACTTCACTGACTTTGCTGCACCAGTGTAGCAGCCGCTGATACTGGGTCTCATGCTTGCCTTTCTGCCAAAGTTTCTGCCACCATCTTACTGAATCTTCCGCCACAAGTCCATGCTGGGCCCACTCAAGCCCTCACTGGTCTCAGTTGCCACCAGCGATGCTGTCGTCGCGACTGAGCTCTTCACAGGAATTAAGTACAAGAAGGAAAACAAGAGAAAATGGAAAATAAGAAAAGAAAAGTGGATGGAGCAGATGAGACCTGGGATTAGGAGTCCTACTCAGCTGCTGTCTTGGAGTATTATTGTGGAAAATTCTGGAAATTACAGAAAAACCCATCCAGTCAAGCAACACCTTTTTGAAAGAGAATCAAGGTGATCCAGTTCCAAAGAACAGTAATTTTCAGCTCAAAAATGTTAATTCTACTTCTCTCTCCGCAGATATATGGAGTTGATGAGTTTTTAAAAGATCTTTGAAGTAGCATTTTCATTTCTGTCGCATTGCCACTGAAAAAAAACTGAAGCTGAAATTGTAGACATTCTGGCATTGTGTTCAAATAACAAAGTTTTCAAGCAGTGTCTGTACCTGTCATGTTTTTGTAGTCAAATAATGTATTATTTTTACCTTAGGTCTGTGCAGAAGAAAAAACAGTCACACTCTCGAACCTGGCTCACATGATGAGCCTTTACAGCACACACAGTTATTCACGGGACAGTGCAAATTGGATTAATGTGGTTTGCCGATACCTGCACGATGCATTCTCAGACATCACTTTTAACCTGGTCACTTACTTAGCTGAGGTAATTTTCCTTATCTTTTGTTTATCTAATTGACATGTTGGTTTGTAGAGTTTGTCTGTTAAAGCATAGAAGAAATATTAACCTGAATTGTTTTCTTAAATTAATTGTTGTCCGGTGTTATACAAGAACCAAGACTACTTTACCTCATCTTTATTGAAATAAAGAATTCATCCTGTTACTCTTTGAGTTAATTGTCAGGTTCCCTCCCAGACCTCAATGCCCATCCTAGTTTCTCTACGTGTCAGTCATTTTTTCCATTTAACACGCAGCATCATCACACTGTTGAGCTGATGATTTGACTCTATATTTACCAATTTCCTTCAGATCACATGCTCTTGGTATTCGTAGCTTTCATCACAATGGCTGAATCATTCCACTTTTAATACTTGTTTCTTTCAGTTCAACTGACTAAGCTTTCCACATTTCCAATTCGCAATAATAAAGCATTGGACTTTTAAAATAATTGCTATCTATTGTATGTTACGTTTGCCATGCATGCCTTGCACTCCTATTTTGTCATCACACATTTACATCTACAACTGTACACCATACCAATGGATGGAACATAAACTCCAGATTCTGAAAATCCAGATCCCTATACCTGTGATCCAGGTGGAGGGAAATTTGTTTTTCCCATGAGATATGAGCAAAGTCATAAAAGATCCAGTAATTTTATTTGAAACTTTAATTGCAAAATGCATAAAGGTAGAGTTTAGCAAGCACAATGTGATTATGACATGACCTTTGCTTGTGTAGTGCTGACAGCAATGAATGCAAATTGGACTTTTAAAAATGCATGGATTTTTTTGTCAATGAAATTACACTGAAATGGCTGTGAAAGTATTAACCTCTATGCTATTTTTCCCCAACAGCTATTAGAAAAGGGCCTAGCTAGTATGCAGCAGTCATTGCTACAGATTATCTATAGCCTTCTGAGTCATATTGATCTGTCTGGAGCACCAGTAAAACAATTCAATTTGGAAATCATGAAGATCATCGGCAAGTATGTGCAGGTTAGTCGTAAGAAGCAGTTTTGTGCCAAAGCTTATCTCATTTCTGAGTTGTAGTATAATTATTTGGAGCAAATTATAATTATTGAAGTTCTTGCTTTGTAATTCATTAAGTAAGGTGGATGTGAAAGAGTATCTTGTGACTGAAATATTTGGAAAATGAATATTTTGATTTACCTCTGCAGTCTGTTGTACTAATAAAACATCTCTGCAATAACTAGCTCAATCTATGTCACCAAATTTATAGTTCAAGCCAGAAGAATAAGACTTTTAGTTTTTACATAGAGATTGAGTCACTTCAATTACCATTATATCAGGTTGACTTGATACCTGTGGAAAACATCTTGCAACAACATGGCAGTTTTTCAATTTATTTAATTAATACAAATTCCCAGAGCTAACATTAGACTTCTCATTTGCTGAACTTAAGGTGATTAGCCTGCCGCTTAGTCTGCAGAGGGTATACTCCTTTGCAATGTGCAATATTGTTTGTGACTCTGTGCAAGTGCTAAAGGGTTTATACTGAGGGCCCAGCAGTTGATCACATGGGATAGAAGCAAAACCCCACAATTTTCCTGCAGATGCTAGAAATCTGAAATGAAATCAGAAAATAATCTGATGCTTTTGTATTCTATGTCGAATCTGTAAGGTTAATCAAAAGGTAAGCTGCTGTTCTTCAAGCTGATACTGAGCTGTGTTAGATGTTGAGGACATGAGATTTGAGTGGGACAGAGAATTTTAAAAGAAGTGTCAGTAAGCCTTGCGGTTCCTCCAAGAGAATTAGATACTATTGTGAAACTGCATATAAGTGCAAATATTTTACCATTATTTAAAATACCATCTTCTAAAATATAGCTTTAATTCAAATCTTAGCTTTAATTAGATTTTATATTCAGGAAAAAAATAGTCTGAGGAAACGGGCATGTTCAACTTCACTTTGTCATTAATAAAGCAACTCAAAACATGAGTATTTCATCACAAACCTATGTGGAATTTTTAATCAATTTTTAATTGATTGTTCATGCATGGGATGATTCGACCTCTTGTGCCATCTTTTATTGTAAAGAAATCTTAAAATTTGAGGCATAGTTTCTTGCATTTCAAATTAACCTCTGCCATGTCATAAAACCTGTGAGCACTTAAAACACAATGGATTAAAATATCTGGAAAATGAATCAATAAAGTCCTTTTTGCAATTACTCTGTTGCCTCAGGATGAAATTCAGCATGAATGGCCATAGGGGAACTGTGTGAAACAATAAACATTTCCACTTTAAAATCTATACCTTTTAAAGGGGGTTGAAGATTTTTTCCTTTGGTTTGTTTTTAAAGAGTTACCATTTGAAATGCAAAAAATGGAAATGTACAAGCTTTAAATGAAATGTTTTTGCCAGTTCAACTATATTTAGTTACCTTGTACATTTTTATTTTCTGGCTAGAATAGATCCTTACAAAAAAAAACTAATGAAGTACACAGAATATTATTCAAAGAGCCAATTAATAATCAGATGAGAAATTGAATGTTTAAGACAGTAATTTTAACAGCAGGGCACTTTATTTTTTAAACTGATAAATGGAGAAGTTTGTGAATTCAGTGATTGCTATAATTTTTGGGCTGTCAACATTTGGACTTGCTGTTATTGTCATGGTCATTCAACTTTGAAAGGGTTTTGATGGAATTTCAACTGTCAGTTGAGTATATGCAGTTGTTAAAGGGAATAATAGATTGGATAGGTGCACTGGATAGGGTGAGGAAGCAGAGTTTTGATATTTCTGATCACAGTATGCCATGCATTGATGGAATCATTACATTTTATGGAATATTCTGTACAGATAACGAAAAAATGCATGCAGAAAACAAACTCTGCTTTTAGAACTGGAACATAAGATGGGGGAAGTTACATTTTTACAACATTTTTCATTGGATTAAAGAAATGGTGCTAGCCAAATAGTATTTATCTTGATCTGATACATTCTTGTGAAGAGATGAGTTAGGAGCAGGAGTAGGCCATTCAGCTGTTTTTTTTCTGCTCCACCATTCATAAAAATTACATCTAATCTAATTATAGCCTCACCCTGACATTTCCACCTATCCAAAATAATCATTGACTCTCTGTTAGTCTAGAATTGATCTTCATCTGCTCAACTGTTCCACTTTCACTGCTTTCTGGGGAACAGAGCTCCAAAGACTTTCAACTACCTGAGGAAAAAAAATCTCCTCATCTCAGACTTTAAAACTGTCTCCCCAAGATCTAATCTGTCCCACAAAGTGAAACATCTTTTCAGAATTCACACTGTCATTTTCCCCTAAGGATTATGTATGTCTCAATATGATAACCTCTTTTCTCAACTCCAGTGGTACAGGTCAAGTCTGTCTAATCTTTCCTTATGTATGAGTTATCTCCTCTGACCCTTACCCACTCCCTCCACTAACCACCAGCCCAAGTTCAGTTGAGTGAACCTGCTCTGAACTGACTCGTAACACATTTGCATCCTATCTGAAATAAGGGGACCAAAACTGCACGTAGTACTCCAGATGTGGCCTCACCAGTGCTAATTGCAACTACAGCAAAATATGCCTACTTTTATATTGTATTGCCCTTACAATAAATGACATTGCAGTTGTCTCGCAATTCACTTAGAGTCATAGAGTAATACAACATGGAAACCGGCCTTTAGGGCCAAACTGGTCCATGCTGACCATGGTATCCACTTAGCTAGTTCCAATTTGCCCACATTTGGTCCATATCTCTCTAAACCCTTCCCATCCATGTACCTATCCAAATGTTTTTTACATTTAGCTACTGTACCTGCATCAACCATTTTTCTGGCAGCCCATTCCATATATACACCAAGCTGCGTGAAGAAGTTGCCCCTCAGGTCCTCCTTAAATCTTTCCTCTCTCACCTTAAACCAATGCCACTAGTTTTCAATTCCCCATCTCTGGGAAAAAGACTATATGCATTCATCCTATCTATGCCCCTCATGATTTTATACACCTCAATAAGGTCACCCCTCATTCTCCTACGTTCCAAGGAATAAAGTCCTATCTTGGCCAACCTCCTCCTATAACTCAGGCCTACTAATCCTGGCACCACCCTTGTAAATCTTCTTTGCACATTTTACAGTTTAACTATGTCTTTCCTTTAAAATGGTGACCAAAATAGTGCACAATACTCCAAGTGTGGCCTCACCAATGACTTATACAACTGTAACATAACATCTGAACTCCTATACTCATTGCCTTGACTGAAGAAGGCCAGCATGCTAAATGCTTTCTTCACCAACCTCTCCACCTGTGACGCCGTTTTCAATGAACTATGTACTTGTACTCCTGGGTCCGTCTGTTCCACAACACTCCTCTGGACCTTACCATTTACTGTACAAGCCCTACCTTGGTTTGACTTTGCAAAGTGCAACACCTCACACTTATCTGTATTGAATTGCGTTTTCCAAGCCCACTTCCCCATCTGATCAAGATTACTTGCTGTAGCTGCATACTAATTTTGTGATTCATGTACCAGAACACCCAAATCACTTTGTAGCATCAACTTTCTTCAGTCCTGCCATTTAAATAATATGCTGCTTTTCTATTCTTCCTGCCAAAGTGGAGAAGATTGCATTTTCCCATATTAAATTCCATTTGTCAAATTTTGGCTCACTCAATTAACCTATTTTCATCCTTTGCAGCCTCATTATAAACCTCTTCAAACTTACACTCCCACCAATCTTTGTACCTCAGCAAATTTAGCAACCATAGATTTGGTCCTTTCATCCAAATCATTAATATAAATTATAAATAATTGAGACCTCAAAATATTGATCCCTGTGGTACACCACTCGTCACATTCTGCCGACCTGAACACAACCCTTTTGTGTCAATCCTGTGGTACCTATTAGCCTATTTTTTATTAATTCATCAGGTTCCCTCAACAGTACTCACTTTTCTTTTTTATTTTAATAAGTATCTCATAATCATCTTACAATAATTTCATCAGTTGCAATTGATTTGCATTGTGAATGTGTATTTTGTTTGAGTTTTAGTTATTCAGCAGAACAAATTATAAATTAACAATTTAGGGAAAATTATCCATTTTGAAAAGAGAAGAGAAAACATGAACTGATTTCAGCTCTTGGCCATATTTGTTGATGCATTTTCTTTCACTCATTGTTGCAGTAGCAAGAACATAATAAAACACTGCGTGTAGCTTTGTGCGAGTGTTTGGTTTTTAAGATTATGGCATGAATGGGCATTTATCATTTGGAAGATTGGTTGGTGATTAAGTAAGCAGAACAACTTTAATACCCAACAAGGACAGCTTAAAAATCAATGTTTAGGGAATCATTAATGTGGAGTAAAAACAAAGTTGCTGGAAAAGCTCAGCAGATCTGGCAGCATCTGTGGAGGAG